CACCACAACAGACCCACCCTCCCGCCCAGGGCCACCCAGAGGCCAGGGCCGAGGAGAAACAGATGTGAAAAGGAAAACTCCTGTAACTTTCCCTGCTGCAAAAGGAAGAGGAGGTCCTCTCGCAGCCATTTCCTCCTCCTCCTTTCTTTTTTTCTTTGTGTGTGTGTGACACTGGGGAGGATGTTACTACTGAGCTACATCCCCAGCCCTTTTATTTATTTATTTTTGGATACCAGGGATTGAACTCAGGAGCACCCAACCACCAAGCCACTTTTGCTTAGCGCTTCGCTTATGCTGAGGCTGGTTTGAACTCATGATCCTCCTGCCTCAGCCTCCCGAGCTGCTGGGATCACAGATACGTGCCACGGCACCCAACCAACCCTTTCATTTTGAGACAGGGCCTCACTAAGCTGCTTATGCTGGCCTTGGACCAGGATTCTCCTGCCTCGGCTTGGTTTACGGACGTCTGCCACCGCATGTGGCTCTTCTTGGAGTATTTTCTTTGGAAAACTTACTTAAATCATTTCTCTGCTGGGATGGAACCCAGGGCCTCAGGCGTTCTAGGCAAGCGCTCGGCCCCTGAGCCTCACCACCAGCCCTCTGGCCGGGCTTACTGTGCAGGAGTGGAGGAGCGGCTCCTGGAGGGCCTGAGAGCCACCCCTGGGGAAGGTCACATAGCGGAAGGCGGTGTCTCTGCTCCGCAGAGCTTGACTGAGGCCCCTGCCTCCGAGCTGGTATTCCATGACCATCAAAGATACGAGGAATGTGATTCTTCCCACGGTGAAGGCCATCACCTAACATCCACCCAACCACCAGAGATTCGGGACGGGCCAGAGGGATGGGTGGTGCGGTGTGACCTCTTACTTAAGGACAGGTCCCATTTATCCAGGGGAGGTGCAACAGGCCGAGCCCCCCAGCCACAGGAACAGGCCGACTTCCCTGGCTGCAGTCTCTGGGGCAGCCTGTCTGCGCACCGGGGGCTGGCCCAATGCTCATTCCATAACCAGATGGTTTCCTCCTTCTCTGCCTCTGTGGGGAGCGCTCGCTGGGTCGCCAGGGCATTTTGTCATTATGTCCCCAACAAGGGCAGAGAGTGACTGTGCCGCTGAGCGCACTTACCGTGGGCGGGGGGGAGCCTCTCCCGATCAGCGGCACGTTTTCGTAGCGTGGGTTCCCACCAAAGAGCATGGCCTGGTTCCT